AGGCAGACAGTACCCAATCACCTGCTTCGTTCATTCTGGACCAGCATGGGAACGGACCCTGACCATTTTCCATTTGGCACTACGAACTGCAGCGGGACCCTGAGACTTAAATGAACAGAAAGATTATTTAAGTCACTGCGTTTGAAACCCGTCCAGCAAATTAATTTAGAATGGCGAGTTTTATATCATTTGTAAAGAAGCAGGACGCTTAGTAGCTCCACTTTGCATGCATGGGGGAGGGGGGGAGCAGCGAGGGAAGGTTCCCACCCTTTGGTTATTGCTTTTTTTTTTTAAGTGCAACCATGTCCTTGGTTAAAACACCAGTTAGGATCAGTAAAGATAACCCTCTCATTTCTCCTGAGGTTGAAGGGAAAGAACTGAAGTTATCCACTTGAGGCTAAATCCTGCTTGTTTTACTCACAGGATTGGTATCGCAGGATTCAATAGGATTGCTCGCGTGAGCAAACCTGGCGAGCGAAGGCCCTTAAAGTCTTCAGTGAAAGTGACTGGTGAGGCAGGGTGTGTATGCAAACTATAAAGCGTGGGATAATCCCATTTCCAGTTAGACACTATAGACGTGCAGGTAGCTGAAAAATGTGCATTAAAACAAAGCCCAGACCACAATTTGCTCCCAAGTTCCTACTGTTATCAAAACTTTTGTGGTTATTTTTAAATACCATCCGAAATTTTTACATTTTAATTTGTTCACCCCATTTTTTATTAAACATTTATCACATGTAAATATTCGTGTTGATATACAGATGTTAAAACTATTGTCATGTTTTCTAGGTTTATGATATATTGTTGTCTGTTCAGAAGTGTATGCTATTGTTAAAGTTGTTTGAGCCGGGCGTGCTAATGCACTGTTTGATTGAGTGAATTAGCAGTCATAACAATCTGGCAGTCTGGCCATAGAAGTGTGCTCAAATTGATTTGTGTTATGGCTGGACTGGAAAATCTAGTGTTAGTTGTTTTTTGCCCTGGGGCATTGTTTGTACCAAATTCCACTTTTCATTTAATTTTCCAATAGATTTCGAAAGACTGAGAGGTTTGCGATCAACATTTGGTGCACTTGCATTATTATTAATTATTATTTTATTATTCTTATTAAAATATCCTATAAGTAATTTCAGATTCCCCAAAACCTTGCTTTCAATCAAAGTAAACATAATTAGCGTGACGTCGTGCTTGGAATGGTAAATCTCTCTTTGTATCTATTAAGCATGTTATTATCTTGTCCCGTCACTGAAAAGAATCCAGTATGTATTTATATTGGGCAAGGTCCCGGCTAATTTGACAATAATGCAGCAATTCCAGCACTGCAGTATCTAGTTTCCTGTTGTTAGGAGATGTTACATCAATCTCAAATGAGTTAATTGTGTTTTCAAGAAATATTTAAAGGTTTAGTAAATATCTTAGGGGGAGTGGGGAAGGGATCCCAGTGCATCATCTTAGATTGCTATAACTTTCTATTTTCCTTTTAGAATCCAGGGAGGGTACAGTATAAGGGTCCCCTTCTATCCTTTTCCTCAATCTCTCCGCAAAATTACAGGTAGCTCCAGAAAAAAAGAGTCGTTGTATGGAGAGTCTAAATATTTAAAGCACAACAAAGCTTACCTTCCTTTTGTCAATATTTGTATCTTCCTTAGAGTCTTCTGCTTTGCAGTCGTTTGCCAGAATTATAATGCAGTATGAATAAAACTAAAAAATTGCTATTGATCACATAGAAAGCTTTGTGAAATCATTTAGTCAGTTTCCCCACTTGAAAAATCAGTGAACAAAATAGGTCAATAGCCAAGGATAAGATGAGATATAACAGAGCAGTATATTTTTCAGGGGGGAAAGTCAAAATAAATACAGATAGAATCCATGTTCATTAATTTAACAATCTACCTACCTTCTTGCAACAATCCCTTCTCATGCCCCCCCTTCCCCCACATTCCGAAGTTCGTATTTTTCTATTTGACTGAATTCATTTACAGTAACAACTGGTGGGGAGGGGGTACCAGGCGGTCAGGTATTCAGAGTACTTAAGATGCAACAGCTACAATACATTTCTTAATTGCATCTTACACGTTACAGCTGCCCGCAAAACTGGATTTAATACAATAGTGAACTCCGGAGCAGGTGCTGTTTTTTTTTAAAGCAATAAATTATGATAACTATCTATTCATCTTATTGCACATTCTCATTTATCGAAATGGTCAGAGGGAAAAAAGAGAGTACCTGCCCTGAACAGTTATGTGAGCACAAGAGAAGCCCTGCTTCAAACAATATTCCAGGAATGAAATTAAAGACTTCTTAATTAGTGCATCAATTAAGCTTTCTTAGTCGCATTTTAATCAGCACAGGCCCTATCAAAGGACAAACAGAACGATTTGCAGGTCTTTGAATTTTAAGCAGTCTTATTGATTTCAGCACCATAAGTCTTCACTTGACACAGGGAGAATTCTCAAATCAGTTATAGTACTTTGAGTTTTACTGGTGTACATTCTAGGGTGTGGGGAGGAGAATTAAAGTCTAACAATATCATTTCTTAAAGGATCTACTTGCAATTAAAATGCAATTTGAAAAAAAACTTAAAAGAGAAAACGAGCAATATCATTATTTGTTGTTCTGCGTCTGTATTAAAATAAATCCAGTAGTTTGCTATAATCGTTTGAAACACTTACCAAGCAAGAAGCTTTGAAGATTCTTGAACCCTTTCCTAAATGTGTTGGTTTCTAATCCAATCTTTTCATTAAACGATCACCGTTAACCAAAACCAGTTGTAGTAAGCACTTACAAACGTTTTTAAACTGTTTAGAAACACAATGGTTTTCCGTGAAAGTACCCAATTAGAAGAAAAGAAGGAGCCCGTCATACTGTAGAGTAGGTAAAGAGCAAGTGATATGGAAGGGATATTTTTGGTGGTGGTGGTGGTGGTGGGGGGGGGGGGATTAATTCAGAGTTCATTTAGAAGTTGAGGTGAAATGGTGACATCACACGTGCTCGTCTCTGTATTAACTTTCTCAGGTGCATGTTTTATGACGATAGTGTGTGTGAGACAGTGAAAACAGGGGAATTAATAGAGCGAGTACGGGCAGCGGGTTTTCAACAACTTTGACACGTTACCTGAAAATAAAATAATGCAATACAGTTACACTTTTCAAGGCCTTTTAAGTATTTCTAGCATTAGGTTCCCACCACTATAATTAAAGTGGCATCCGCATTCCTATTTTAAGATTGGTTTGTGTTTCTTGGGCTTTGTAACTTGCAAAATTACTCCATATTCAAGTCTTGGTGTGATGGTCTATTTTTCTTCTTTTCTTTTCTTAAGGCTGTTCGAGTATTAGAAAAAATAAAAGTTCACTCACTGAAGAAAGCTTTTGGTATTCAGAATTGGAATTTAAAAAGCAATCTCACAGGTAGTGAGCAAGCAGGTCATACCAGAATGCGTATAGTTTTTGGCAATCTAGGGGAAAAAAGTGAATTTTCCCCATATTATAGAATTAGTTTCCATTAAGATTCTTATCACACATCTAGACGTGTAATCCCACGATTCATGTCTCCTACAAATAATACACATTTCAAAAAACAGGCTAAGGACAGGTAGATGTCACAATCTACTGAGTACATAATTTACATTGTTTAAAAAGCCTAAATACTTCTGTGCACATTATTGCTGCAGCTCGTGCACTTGTATGAAAGATTATTTCTTTGTCTTTTTAAAAAACAGAAAACCCACAAAAGAAATAGAAGACAAAAGCCAAGGCAAGCCCCTTAACCAGAACCCAAAAGGAAATTCGGAGTTCAAGCTAAAACTCTAAACCCTGTGGTGGCCAGGTACTACAACATGTATGCGGCCTGACTCACAATTCAAATATATATCTGCATATCCTATAAAATTAGATACTGCGCAAGCGCAACAGCTAATTTTACACCGTACCTGGTGACAGGGGCAGAATATCAAAGATCAAACTTGGATGTGTGGCTTGCAGTCACCTGTTGTTCACAGACCGCTGCAATACCTAGACACAACAGGGTGGGAGTAAGCACTCCGTTTCAGCTCTCTAATATCTTGGCTATTGTATTTAAAGTTACTTCAGCCTTATTAGAACAAATGTTACAACTACTTCTTTTCACGCATTTTATAGTTGACTATCAAAACCACAATCAATCAAACGTGAGTCGGTTTGTACACACTAGGAAACACAACCACCAATGCCTTTCTTGTGGAAAAGCTTTACTCTTATGTTCAAAAAGTTCATGGGAGCCTATAGATGAAAACAGGCACTTGTTCATTTCTTTTAAAACTGCTCGGGTAATTCTTTAGCACAACAGATGTTATTTGTAAATTGGAGGAAAAGTAAGTGGCCGGTGTTCTTTGATCCATAAAAGTCTTATTTTCTGGAAATACTGTTGTGTTTGCTTTTCTTTCTTCTGTTGTGTTGCACGCGCCATACCATTACAAGCCCTTCAGTCCTAGTGATCACTATTATGCTCTTTTTGGAGTCTTATTAACTTCCACCCCTGTCATTTGGCTTGTTTGTTGTCTTGAGAAAAATACTCCGGGTCTGAGTGTTTTTGTTTTCAAATACATGTGCTACTCCTAAAGTAAATAGCCCTTCAGAAGGTGCGGGGTCGAGTGAAGTCCCCGCCCCTCTGCCCCACACCCCGTTTCTGTGTGGTGAGAAAGAGGCAGCCGAATGCCTGTCAGGAAAACTTGGGTACGTTCTTGGCTCTCGGTCCAGTGTGGGGACAAGCGGTCGCTGGGAAGTGTTTGGAAAATTACATCTCGTCTCTGTTGAGATGAAACATGAACCCTATAATCTAACGGTTCCTGGAGGAGAGGAGGAGGAAGAGGGATCTCGCTCGCTCTCTGTTTCTTTGCTCCGGGTTCCTGGTTGGATAATTTGGGTTAATACTAGTGAGTGAGGCTTTTGCTGCTTCAAAGGGTATTTCAAGTTGCCGGAGCTCCTCCCCTCTGCACCGTGTGACAACAACAACTCGCCCGGAGAGCTAGAGAGCGAGCGAGCAGCGAGCAGCAGCGGCAGCCAGCACTTTTCAGCTCATTTTCTCTCTGTCATTCCCCTCTCAATCTTTGATCCATGTACTTGCCAGAGAGAACCGAAGTCCTTCAAACCTCCCCCTTCTCACCTTCATCTTTAACTTGGTGCTAGAGCAAGGACCACAAAACAAACAACCCTCCCTCCCTTCCCCTCAACCCCAACCCTACCGCCCGCAGCGGACTTCTCCTCATTCCCCACTTGCGGGACACTTTGTGCGTCTCTCTCTCTCTCTCCCTCACGCTTCCTCCCTTCTCGGCGGCAGCCGGTTTGGTCCCCCCCCCCATTCTGCCCCCCTCCCCTCTTTTTGTCCGTGCGGCAACTTTTTCCCCCCCCCCCCCCTCGTATATGTGACCATGGCCGTACCGGCTGCTTTGATCCCTCCGACCCAGCTGGTCCCCCCTCCACCTCCGATCTCAACTTCTGCCGCCTGCACCACCACCACCACCACCTCGTCGGCCACCTCGTCTCCGTCTCCTTCCATCGCTCCCCCGCCAGCCTCTTCGGGGACGAACCTATTCCGGCCGGAGCCCATCGCAGCCGCGGCGGCGGCGGCGGCGGCGGCCACAGTCACCTCCACCACCAGCAGCGGAGGAGGCGGCGGCGGCGGCGGCGGCGGCAGCAGCAGCAGCAACGGAGGCGTCGGCGGCAACAATTGCAGCCCCAGCCTGGGCACCGGCACCAGCGGCGGCGCGGGCGGCGGCACCTCCACCCCCAGCGCCGCCAACAGCAGCAGCGGCAGCCTGCCGGGCAAGCCGGTGTACTCGACCCCGTCCCCGGTGGAGAACACCCCCCAGAATAATGAGTGCAAGATGGTGGATCTGAGGGGGGCCAAGGTGGCCTCTTTCACCGTGGAGGGCTGCGAGCTCATCTGCCTGCCCCAGGCTTTCGACCTCTTCCTGAAGCACTTGGTCGGGGGCTTGCACACCGTCTACACCAAGCTGAAGCGGCTGGAGATCACGCCCGTGGTGTGCAACGTGGAGCAGGTCCGGATCCTGAGGGGGCTGGGGGCCATCCAGCCCGGCGTGAACCGCTGCAAACTCATCTCCAGGAAGGATTTCGAGACGCTCTACAACGACTGCACCAACGCAAGGTAAAGATCACCCCCCCACACACACACACACCCCATACACACACACACACAGCCTCTAACCTCCCCTGCCCCCGCCTCTGACCCACCCTCACACAGGGAGCCCTGACACACCGCCCGGGCAATCACGGCGCCTCTGCCTGGTGGTGCCGCTGAGCAAGCCCCAAAGCAACCTGTCCTCTGCCCTGCCGCGGCCGCACGAACCGACCCCCGCCCCTCCGCCCGGCGCACCGGGCTGGGGGATGTGGGCCGGGAAGGTGCTGGGGCGCGGGGGGGGGGCTGTTATTTCCTCAGCCCCTTGAAAGTGTCAGCCTGCCCCCGCTTCCCCCCAGTACTGTGTGCCTCTCGCCCCCCAGGCTGACTGGGGGGGGGGGGGGATGAGCTAGGCGCCGGCTGGGGAGGGGGCTCAGGAATGGGGCGAGGCGGTGCAAGGGGGCAGCTGATGTTAAACCCGGGGCTCAGAGTGCTTGCTCTGCCCCCTCACCCCACCCCTTCCCCGCCGGGTTGATTTGTATAAACCGCCACGGGGCGCCCGGAGACGGTGCTGCGAAGGCTGGCTGGGGGGCGGAGGGGGGGACGGGACGTGAGAGTGCCGGGGAGCCGGCGCACAGCCTCGCCGGGCTTTCTCTGAACTGTGGCCCGACAGCCAGCGTCCCCAGGCCGGCCACGGCGGGCACGGCTCCAAAAGGGGCGACTAGGTGTGTGACAGCCCGCGGCAGCTGTCACAGGGGACGTGGCGTTGCTGGAGGGGGAGAGTTGTAAAGCGCCGGGCCCGTCCTGCTCTCTCGGGCGGGTTAGTCTCTGGGAAGCAGGTGTGTGAGCGAGGCGAGGGGCCGGAGTAGGTGACTCGCGAAGCAGAAGCGTGGAGGGGATTTGGCAGGGCTGAATCATATATTACGGCGCATCTTCTTAACAATAATGCGTGAATCACACATGGGAAGGGAGGGCAGCATTCCAGCTCGGGACAGATCGCAGGACACACTCACACACGTCAAGACACTCAAACAAAGGCAGCCCGCGATCATCTAAAGTTGGCGCAACTGAGGGGGTGGGGGGGGGGGGGTGGAAACTGACAAAAGAGGAAATTCCTTTTGAAATAACAGCTTGCTTAAAAACGGCGAGTGAAAGAATGGGGCTGTTACTACTAAATCTGTCTGATTAGGAAAGGGAGGCAACGGGAACTGAACAACTGCTGTGAGCTAAAGAGCAGAGTGTTTGGAAGCTTCTTCACTTCATCAAAGCCCCCGTTGGTTTCTGGGGGGTCTGCTGGTTTGAAACGGCTTCGGAGCTTGGTGGGAAACTTTATAGAGTAGCTCAGATTTGCCATTAAAGAGGCTGAAGCAGAGTCTCTCTCTTGTCAACTGTTATTTTCATTAAACGCAAACAGGCTCTTCCAACTCATAATTTGGGTTTCTCTTTTTTCCATGTGAGATTTTAAGATACAGCAGCAGCAGCACGTGGGGAATTAACCCCCGATGAGACTTTGTTCATTCCATTTGTAAGGACTGGGTGTGACTATTTGTTCTTTCTCTCTCCTTGAATTAGTTGGGGGTAGTAGCTGGACTCATTATCCTAGGGCAAGGCAAAGGAAAGCACTTATTCGTGCCTTTATTTCTAGCTTGATTATTGACGTTTAGGAATAGTCAGGGGAGCAGGACAAACATAACCTGGAATAACTTTAGAGCATTAATGTACCTGTGTAACTACTTTGGTCATGTGTTGGGTACTAGACATGGTTTGTGGTGGAATCAAATGAGTTTGTAAATGAAGAATAATAAAAGGTAGCGTTAGGATGCCTGTCGTGTATATATGTATTGAAAAAGACTGACATTAAACATTATATCAGCTTTATTTTTGTGACTAAATCCTTCCACTTTTGCAAGGTGTAACACGATTTGTGAATATTGTTAAAACATAGGCTGGTCATGTCAACACTGCAAAATTGACTGTGTTTCAACAGTGTCAGGGGACTGCTGTGTTGTAATCCAACATGGTAGGAATTACAGTATGGACAGCAATGAGCAGACCTGGCCCTTAAAGAACAGTATTGTAGTAGAATATTTATATATCCATTAACTAAATAAATTAATTGAAAGGACTTACAGTTTGTATGCAAGTTGCAGTATGTACAAGTGAAGCATGGTGTTTCAGTGAGTTTTGATCAAGCTAAATTTCATCTTCAGTACACACAACTGAATTTACTTCACAGTTTCTTTCCTTGGACATGTTTTAATATGATTTTTCTTTCATTTCAAATGGTTTATTTTTAATTAAGTTGTATCTTTACAGAATATATTGATATTAGAATAGTTTGATCTCATTGCAATAAATTGGCCTTTTCAGGCTAGCAGTTGCAGTACACTTTATCTGAATGATGTTTCATATTTCGAGAGAGAAAACTTACTTTTGAGATTAAAAATATAAGTGTAAATCTTACAGACAGATTGTTATACTTCCAACATCCAAAATATTTTATCCATATATTTGTATCATAGTCAGTTGACACACTGGAGTAAGATTAATTCTTTTTTTTAGACAATGCTAACAGCTTAATCAAGGGTAATCCATTATTTAATCAAATGTGCATTTCAACACAGCTATTAATTTATTGTGAAAAAAATCACATTTGGTTTATCTACATATTTTGATTCATTAGTTATCAATTTCTGTGAAAAACATTATAATTTATCTAAAATGAACCTTACTCTTTATAGATTGTAACCATTTGGTTGAAAAGATATTAAATGAGATCTGAAAAGTTTTTGTGAGTGTTAGTCCAAAATGTACTCTTTTAACTGCAGTGGCAACTATATTTAAAAATCAATAAAGCATCAGGGAATTTTCTTTTGAATACTTAGAAGTCAGTTAGCAAAATGAATTGGTTCCTGTGTCTGCCTGATTCTAATAATTCTAATAATTAAAATACCTTTTTACTAAATTAGTTCTCTGTATCAGTGGAAAATAAGTCTTCTAATGTGGGGACTGATTCTTCTTTCCTATTCACACTGATCTTTGCTTCTGTCTTTTCCATATAAAGCTCTGGTCACCAGACAAAAATTTCAGGAAGTAGCAATCCAGGCATCTATGCAACAGTATGAGGAAGTGGGGTTGGCATGGATAGGAGACTCTCAGGGGATGATAGATAGCCAGATGCCAAACTAAAAGGCAAAAATGTAAAAAAGATTGTAAGTTGGTAGATATCAATTTTTTTCAGTTATATATGAAACAAGCCCTAGTACATTATTCATCAGATGTTATCTATGTAGGATTCATGGGTTGGTACCCACTGATCCTTGGCTGTTTCCGGTCTCTTGTGTCCCAGAGCACTTGTGGAATTTTGCCGCACTGGTCCCCTCCATGGAGGCTTGCATTGACTTTAAAGGGCTTTGGATCAGGCCCCATTTGAGTAGTGAGGAAAGGCATGCCTTCTTCTTTCCCCTTCCTGTGGCCAGTATATGATAATCTTTTCTGGTACTTGGAGATGCTATTGACTGAGTTAATTGACATTCGTACTGAAAATGGAGAATTATTATTGATAGATAGTAATTTCTTAAAATATGACATATGACATAATTGCTTTTGAATACAGAATATCACTAGGATAGAGGATTAAAGAATTTTTGTCTAACACTTGTCTTCCATTGCAATTATTCAAGTCTACATTTGCTAGCTTTTGTTCCTTTCACATCACATGGAACTAGCATGTACTTGTTTACAGAATTTTGCACTAATGCAGGATTTTCCTATTTGTCTTTATTAAAATATGTATTCAAACTAAATAGGTTACCATAGCCCACATGTATTTCATATGAGCCAGTCAACAAGTCACAGCATAGGCACACCACAAGTAATATCTAATGAATAAAATCCATGTTTAGAAGTTTACTCGTGTTGTGATATATTTCCAAGATATTATGCAGAAGTTGAATATTTATAGGTTATGTAAACAAAGAAGATTTATAGAAGGCCAGAAGATAAGTTATATTAACTGCATATTCAAGGGGAGACTAAATGGTTGGGAGATATCATCTCAAAACTTTGAAAAAAATATTTTTTATCTAGTTCAGTCTTTATCAGTTGGTAAAAATTATAACTTGAAAGTGAGTTTTGTGAAATATAATAATAATTGTCATACCAGATCAGACCCTTTATACCTTTAATCTGGTACTCAGTCTCTGATAGTAGCCTATTCTTCCCCACCAATGTACCTAGCCAGTTGTGCATGGTGGGTGTGTTTGGTGAATGGTGATCATGGGGGAAATTCCTTCCTGATCTCTTCAGGTGATTAGCTTATGTCCTGAAGCATGCAGTTTGATTAGCCCCATCTTTATGTTAGCTGAAAGAGCTAGAAATGTTGTTAGTGATCATAGAATTATACAGTTTTTTTTACAAATCTTTTACAGACAGAGTTTCATATACTTTGGCTGTTCATTAGTTATTTAGTAATCATTATTAAGAGAACTAAACAGGAATAATGAACATATGGAAGCACACTGAGATACACGTGCATGTTTGCCAGTAAGTGATTTTAGTTCTTGCTTTTACAAACTATTGTCTTTCTATTTGTCTTCTGTAAAATTATCAGGGTTTAAATCCTGTGGGACTGATTCTAATCTTACTCAGTTTTGTTATAGGTAAGAAATGGTTATAGCTAAATTACAAAATGTAATCTGCAAACTTTCTTAAACAATTTAGTTAAAACAGAAATATTCTTGTTATGGTAAATGAAAAGTTTAAGTAAAGATTTAATATTTACTAGTTAAATACTAATGCATAATGTCCCCTATTAGTTAAAATCTCATTTTCAGTATGCCTGTGGATGTTACTTTGAGTAAAGTATAGTTAAACAGACCTTACTGACCTTATTTGACCTTATTTAATACTTGTGTGTGTAACTAGCTTTTGTAAATTAGCCTAGTATATATTCGGAATTGTTGTTAGAAAAAAGTTATTGTCTGAATGCCATTTAATATTTCTCCTGTCTTTCTGGGTTTTGTTACTAA